GAACTGGATACCCCATCCGAATTTTTTGAAGAACGAGGCCTTCCTCTCCGCCTGTGGGCTTAGCACCATGTTCCCACAAGGTAGACTTACTACACATCCGGCAGTTTGCTGTCTGTATTGATGCTTTAATTGTTTAATTTTTGTTAATTTTTTTCGGAAAAATGTAATCTAATAATCCCACCTTTAGTCGGTATTCAAGAAACAATCCCACCTTTTTGACATAGATCTTCCACTAACGATTCCATTGACCTACAACCTGCTAAACAAGTTTTTTTTTTTTTTTTTTTTGTAACTACAATTCTTCTCAAGCCACCCGTCCACTACCATGGCCACCCCAATACTCACCCCTTACCACTACCCCCACCAACCAAGCCACCACGAAACTCTCCAACCATGCCGGTATATCCTACAACCACCCCCAAAACCCAACCACAACCCTAAAAGCCCACCCATAGCCCCAAAAACTCCCACCCAGTCCTGAAATTGAAAACTCAGCCCCAAAATACTCTACCCTATCACCAAAAATTCCACCCACAGCCCCAAAAAATGCCACCCATCTTGAAAACTCAACCCCTTACCTTGAACATTCAACCTCGGCAGCCCCAATTACCTTGAAATTAAATGCAAATTGTGATTTCAATCATTTGAAAAAATCGAATTTTAAAAGGAAAATTGATGAATTTAGAGGAGAGAGAAACATACCCAAGAGAAGAGAGAAAGAGAAGGAGAAAGAAGGGTTCTGGTGCTAAAGTAATAACGTGCGAAGAATAGGAGCGTGATATAGGTTGCGGTTTAGGTAGTTGGTTTTTTGGGGAAGCAAGGCGGCTACGGTAGTGGTTACGGGTGTTGTTATTCAGGTGTCGGGGGTTGGGTTGCCGGAGAAAGCAAGGGCGGGGATGGGGAGGAGATACGGTAGCAGGGGTGGGGAAGGGATATGGGTGGCGTGGCTGAGGCTGGGGTTTTTGGTTTTTATTTTTCTTTTTAGTTTTTTTATATTATTATTAAAAATTAAAATAAACCTATTCTAATCCGACACGTGTCTTATAACTTAAGAAAACTGATTAACAACATATTCCAACCGGTCAGGGATTGTTAATAGTAGATGGGGGTCAAAGGTGGGATTGTTTCTGGAATTTCAAAAGGTGGGATTGTTTATGGAATACCGACTAAAGGTGGGATTATTAGATTACATTTTTCCATCTTTTTAACCAACTATTTCCTTTCTTTTTGCAGAAGAAGCAAATAACATGGTTCCTCAAGAGATAACACCTGCTAAATCGACTGCTCTATTGAGGAAGGAGTAGCTTCTTGAGAAGAAGGCAGCCTTGGAAGCCAAGGAGGCTAAGAAAGGAGGGGTAAGCCCGCCTGCTAAACTCTTCCAGCTTTTATAACAACTTAGTTATTTACCGGTTGTACCCCTTTCTTTTAACATACAAATTTTCCGTTTGTAACCTATATTTTATTGGCAAAGTGGAAGCAATTCAATTCCCCACTCAATTACCAAACTATTCAAGCGGCCAGGGGATGAGTTGAGCAAAACCCTGGCTAAGATGAGAAGGAAGAATCCTCTTAACTCCACCTCTTCAGCCAACCCAGATTGACCCACAACCGGGAGCAAAGGCACGGCTGTGATAAATGCTCTAAGCGAAAGCTTAGAGCGAGCTGATGGGAAACAGCCGGATGCCTCTTCGGCATCGAAGAGTGGCAAGCCACTCACTGCTGCAGTCGGCGCTACAGCGGCTGAAGAGGTCGAGTCGTCCCATCTTCGCAATCAAGTTAAGACATAAATCAAACTTCCCTGGTCGCCTGACTACATGCGAGTTAAGACTCGGGTTAGCCCGTCTGGAGGTTCGTTGAGCAGCCGGCATGAGTCGAGTGGCGCCTGTGCTGCTTTCTCACCAAGTACTTCTTTTTGTATAAATACCCCCTTAGTGCTTCCTGAGATGCAGATGTTTGCCAAGAGGATTGTGCGGACCCTCACCAAAACCTCTATACCTGATGTGCAGGTGGTGGATTTTTACCGGATCTAGGGCTTGCTGGCTGAGGTAACTTTTTACTTAGAACTTCACTTTTTAAAGTTTTAACTTCACTCTTTAAAGTTTTTAAGGGAGAAGAGGTGAATGACGCTAAACAGAGGGTCGTTCAAGCTCTATATAATAAAATACAATGTGATGTTGAAATTAAAGCAGTAGATTTGTAATAAGAGGAGCTGATAAAGAACTTGACGGCAGCTAATGACGCCGCTAACGAGCAGGGGGCCAAGCTTGAGCAGGATCTGAAGACTGCTCAGTCAGATCTCAAGGCCTTGGGGGAAGCTAACAAGGTGAATGCCCAATCAAGAGCAAACGTCAGCCGCCTAGATGTCGAGCTTGTCTTGGAAAGGAACCAGCACAAGGACGAGATTGCCAAAGAGCAGAAGCGGCTGGTTGCGAAAAATGAGCGCGACACTAAAGCCTGGCTGCGCATTACATGGGGTCTGCTCCACCCTAACATTGAGTTTGATGTGCTTAAACTGCAATTTGATTACGCCACTAAGGTGTATGACGCCCAGGCGTTTAATGAGCAAGGCCCACCTCCCTTCAAGGCATGGGCCCTTGAACAAGGCTTTGAGGTCTCTAATGATGAGGAAGAGTCGACTGCCAAGCAGGATAATCAGGTCCAGGCTAATGAAGCTCAAACTTATCAAGTCTAGGATGGCTAAGTCCCGTATGCGCAAAATGAAGCAAGCCTTCCAACATGCCAAGTCCAGTCGGAGCAGGTTCAACACCCGTAATTCAGCCTCCTTTCTTCTACGGCAATATGCCAATGATATCTTTCCTGCTTGTGAGCCGAGTATTTCTATGTATGTTTTACCGACTAAGGAGTCGGGTGACAATTTAATTTTCTCTTTGTTCCGAATGTTTATCCGGTTAACATTATTATTAGGTTTTGACCGGCTTGAATGAAATTTGCCGACCGAGTCTGCTTGATGAATTTGATAATTTTGTTTCAATTTTTGCACTTAAATTCTGCAATTTTAATTTTTGAATTTTTGCCTAGCTTTTTAGAGCATGCGGTAATTCATTTAGTATACCGACTACTCTTCCCCTTGGCAGATGTGTGGTTGGTTTTAGTACTTCTTTGATTGATTGACTTTGGAATGTTTGATACTTTAAAGAGTATGGAATGTTCCTAAGTCAATCAATCACAGTAGTAATTGCCCCAAACCAAGTACATAGCCGTCCACAGAACCAATAAGTAGCCGTTTTACCCAACAGGGGAGTAGGCTGGATCATAGCCTTATTTCCCGTTTTGCGGTATTTGCATTTCATTAAAAACTATCTCTTAGTTAACCAGGTGGGAACTTGCCGCCAGGTAGTTAATGGAACAAGGAACATATTGTCCGTTATGGTTCCCGACAGCTTAAAGGTCGTCTGGGGTGCTTGCAATCCATTGCACTTGGTTCGTCTGCCCCATTGGGGTGACTGGTACTATTTTTTATCGAATAACCTAACAAAGAACTTCAGTTATTAACCGACTAATGTCTTTTGAGATCTGGTCTTTACACTTAACAAATTATGAGTTAACCAATCATTAGACTATTTTTGTCAGACAACTATGAGTTAACCAATTAGGTCGTTCAATCTTTGTTGTCTGCATATGCTGGTAAAGAAAACGATAGATTGCCCTCTGCGACGATAACACCCGGAGGGGCGTTGTCGGATGCCATAATCATATGCGAGCAGACGAATTTATAAAATAAGTTTGCATCCTGCCATTGGCCACAATTTAAATATCAGGTTAGCCGCTAAGTTTTTAACCTAGCTTATTTATTCAATGGACCGTCTGTGTTTTTAATAGTCGGTAGTAGATTGATGCGCATATATACAAAACAATTAAATTAAACTGGAAACAAAAAGCAACTTTTTCATTGATGGGCTTTTCTTTTACAAAAATTAACAAATCTTAGAAGTAGTACTTTTTCAAGTTGTCTACATTCCAAGTTCTAGGCAGCCGCCTATAGGCTGGGTTTCCAGCCGGTAGGTGCCATTTCTCACTTCTTCATAGATCTGGTAAGGGCCTTTCTAGTTAGGAATTAGCTTTCTTTGCTCATTGGCCCTACTGGTTGCCTCAATCTTACGAACACAAAGTCCCTAACTTTTAAGGGTTGTTTGTGCACTCTTTTGTTATAGGCACAAGTCATTCTCATACGGTAGATCTAATGACGCAATGCATCATTGCCCCTGCACTCCGGGAGTGAGTCCAATGCTAGCCGCATGGCCTCCCAGTTTGTCTCTTCATCGTATACCATGACTCGATAACGTTTGATGGGCAAGACGGCTTTAGCACCGTAAACCATGAGAAATGTGGTTTCACCGGTCACCCCCTTGTCAGTTGTCCGCATGGCCCATAGGACATGAATTAACTCTTCAGCCCATAAACCACTGGCTCTTTCAATTTTCTTTTTGATACCGTCTAAGATGATTTTGTTTAAGGCTTCAACTTGGTCGTTTGCTTAGGGTCGGCTAACTAATGCAAAACAATGTGAGATCCCTTGATCTCCCAACCAAGTTTCAAGCTGAGGGGTCTCAAATTGAGGTCCACTGTCAAACACCATATACATAGATACCCCAAACCGGGTGATAATGTTCTTCCAGATGAAGGAGATGACATCCTTTGTCTTTATGCCCTTGACCGACTCTACTTCCACGTACTTGGTGAAATAATCTACAGCAGCTACACTAGTAGAAAAATGTACATTTGCGTCGCCATATTTGCGTCACTAATTCTAAGGAGCGAAGCAAATGTTTATTTTTACCTTCCTTTTAAATTATTTGCGTTGCATATTATTTAAGAAGCGACGCAAAACTCAAGTGCATTTCAGCTTTCTATCATTTGTGTCGCTCCTATTTATTAAAGCGACGCAATTAATAAACTTATTTGCGTCACTCATTTGTTAGCAAGCAACGCAAATAAGAGATTAAGTAAATTGCGTCACTCTTTTACTAATGAGCGACGCATATGTACATTGTACAACATTATAAACAAGGTTATTTGCGTCGCTTTTTTATAATAAAGTGACGCAAATAACTCTTTTGGCTTTAAGTTTTTCTGCGTTTATTACCTTAGTTTTTCATCAGGTACCTACATTCACTATACAAAAAGAAAAAAAAACAAGAGTTCTTAAATTCCAGCGAATTTCTACAGAAAAACACCCACAAATTTGTCTCTGAAATCCAACAAATTCGGCCAAAAACTTGCGTTTCCCCAGCAAATTTAACATCTAAAATCGCAGTGAAGTCGAAGACCCATAATCGGCTGCAAATCCGAGCAATTTCGAGCAAAAATATAGACCAAAAACCCTAAGAAATTCGAAGCCTTAAACCCAGAAAAATTGATTGTTTCCGACCAAAAATCCCCCATTTCGAGGAAAAAATCACCCCAAAAGCATACAAATTCGAACCCTAAAAATCCCAAAAAATTCAATTTCGGTCTTCAAGTTCGATTGGGGGATTTCGTGGGGGGATTTCTAGGGTTTTTGGCAGCGACGCAATATACCCTAAGAAATTCGTCCCATTTCAGTCATAAATAATTTTTGTTCGAATTTCAGTCAAGAAATTATAGCAACAATAGGTTAAGTCAAGAAATTACAGCAACAATAATTGTTTGAATTACGTCTTTTTCTGGGTTCAAGTCAAGAAATTATAGCAACAAAAATTCGAGCAATAACTGAAATTTTCGAGTGGAAAAATCGCTTAATTTCGCCCCAAAAAACCCGAGGAGGTTCAAGCAAATTACAGCAACAACAATTGAAGTTCGATTTCAGCTCGACATTGTTGAATTTTTGAAGTCAATTCCACCTATGGTAAGATTACTTCTATTTATGTTCAATCTTTTCTTGGTTTAAGGCTTCGAATTCGGGGAAGATTAATGAGTGTGTTGAGTAAGCTTAATTTGCAAACTTTGGCTATTCTTACATGATTCATAATTATTGTGTCTCTGCTTGGTACTTTTGCAAACTTTGATTTAAGTTATTACTGCCTTAATCTATTCTAGTCTAGTACAAATGTACATTACTTGATGATTTAAGTTATTACTGCCTTAATTGCAATTAAAAATCCATTATGATCTCGGGTTTAGTCATTGAAGCATGCTGAACGAGCACTTCAGTCGAGTGATACATTGTTATGTCTATCTTAGTTGTAATTAGCCTAACAGATGATTAAGGTTTACGTGCTCGCATTTGTAAGCATCGAAAAGTCGATATCCATCATACATACTGTCATGCAGCTAGATTATTGCTGGCATGTTGTTCAATATACCTTAAGAGCATGGTTCAACCCCTGGCCTAAGATCTGCCTTTTTGTCCAAACTTAACTTTTCCGGCAGTTGGAAATTGAACCTTTTCTGAACTTGGACCACAACAAGCAATTCAAGAATTAACATGAAAATATAAATATAAATATAAATATAAATGGAAGTATAAAATGTCAGTGTAATCATTGAAGTGTAGCAAACTTAAAATTTACTGTAATGAAGCTTTAGGTGTCGGCTCCTGTAATGGTCTTCACATATTCATCAGTTCTGTAAGACCTTTTTGTTTTGCTGGTATTAGAAATTTAGTTTAAACCTTTATTGAAAAGGAGGCAATGTCAGTATTTCTTACTCAACTAATGTTATGACTATTTGGCTAATAATGAAAAATAGTGTAAATGTACTTTTTTAACTAGTGGTTTTTAGTGTTTAACTTGTTTTTAAACCTAGTATAAAGTTTTCTTATCTGTTAAGCTACTTTTGAAGGCCTAAATCTGGAGGAAAATACCCAGAATTATTATTATTATTATTATTATTATTATTATTATTATTATTATTTTCAATTTTTTTTTTGTAAGTCTCAAGCATGAACAACTGTCATCTCCGATTCATTAAAATGGAGAATCTGTATGTTCCCTTGTAGATGGTTGAATAAAAGGAAGTTATTGTGAATCAAATGATCATTGATAAAACAATTAATACATATGAAATTATATAAGGGAATGGTGTTGTATGCATTGCTTTTTATCTTAGTCTAGGGCTACCGGGGTAGATTCTAAAACATTGCTAATTGCAGATCATTTGATCCTTACGCTTAAGTAAAAATTGATATGTACTGTAATACACTTTGGTTATGCATGACATATTCATCCTTTGTTACATTAATTCACTTATGATTCTAGTCTATTAGCCGCTTCATCTATATATACTGCTTGGTTAGTTCTCATCTGGAAATATTTTTTTCTTATTGATTTCTAAATTTGGTTGGTTTAAATCTTGGCAGTACTTGGATGAAAACAAGTCTTTGATTCTGAAGATTGTGGAAAGCCAGAATTCGGGGAAGATTAATGAGTGTGCTGAGTAAGCTTTATTTGCAAACTTTGGCTATTCTTACATGATTCATAATTGTGTCTCTGCTTGGTAATTTTGCAAACTTTGGCTATTTCTCTCGTGCTCGCTCTTGTTCTATGAGATTTAGGATCACGAGCACACACGCAACTATGTTGGTTTAATATATGTAATTTTTTATGGCAGATTCTTAATTATGCGGAAGTGAATTCCACAAGTTGCTCGAGGTTCTGGTTGTGGACAAACGATTAAGGCGGTAGTACGCATACGAGATTGTCTTCACTTGTGGTATATATATCTGAACCATTCTTTGCAATATTAACTTATTTGTTCTAGTTGGTATAATGATTGTGAATTGTATGAGATTTTTAATTGTGATATAATTGATTAGAATTGCAATAATACTTGCATCATTGACTTAGATACTCGTTCAGGGCTTACTCATTAGGAGTAAGTCTTGAATAGTCCCCAGTTTGGGACTGTTCTTGAATGTTCTATCTCATTAAGGTGATAACTACTTGAATTGTTTTGGATCTAAGAAGATCATGGCTCACTATTTCCCGATTGTTCTCTGGGTACATATGTTGATAGCCGATTATCTACATTTGTGCTTGGACAACTATAGGGAAATGCTGCCGGATTTTCTTTAGAACCAAACTTTACAAGTAGTTATTAGTGAGATAGGACATTCAAGAATGAGTTAAGTTGGAGTGATAAGGACCTTATTGGATCATCCGGAGTTGCATTTACATGATATAAACTTTGAATGAAAATGTTTGATGCCTTATATTCTTGTTTATGGTTAAGGAGCTATATATGTTACAAAATATACACATTATCTTAAAATTAATTTTGTTATTCAGTGGTTGAAAATGGATCGAAGTTGGATGTATGGTAAAAGAAATTGTACAAGTTTTTTACGAGGAATTGAAGAGTTTAGCACTGTTGCCTTAAAACACCAAACAGAGAATAAATCAAAGAATATTCTTTGTCCTTGTTGTGACTGTAATAATTCGAGGGGATATCGTGATATAGTTGATATTAAAGATCATCTAATTCGTCGTGGGTTTAAAGAAAACTACACGAGGTGGACATGGCATGGTGAGAGCATATATATTGAGGCAAGTTCTAGTTATTGTCCAAGGGAAGATGAGAATCATTGTGATGATGATAATGACCCCCAAGGTGAGGATATCGATACAGCTGATGATATTGGTGTTGAAAGTGAGAGTGAAGTGGAGAAGGAATAGATGAAATGATGCAAGATGTTGAAGACCATTTCACAGAGTGTCCCCAGACATATGATAGTATTTTGAGAGCTGCTGAAACCCCGTTATATCCTGGTTGTACAAAGTTCACTAAACTTGGTGCTATTATGAAGTTATTCAACTTAAAGGCGAGCAATTGTTGGACTGACAAGGGTTTTACGCAGTTGTTAGAAGCCTTAGTAGAAATGTTTCCCGACGGGAATGAACTTCCAAACTCCACCTATGAGGCCAAGAAACTTATGTGCCCCTTGGGTATGGAGTATGAGAAGATACATGCTTGTCCCAATGACTGTGTGTTGTATCGAAATGAGTATGCTGATTTGCATGAGTGTCCAAGGTGTGGAGTTTCTCGTTACAAGATGAATGATACCAGTGAGATGTGTAAGAAAGGGTCTCCGGCTAAGGTATTATGGTATCTTCCAATTATACCGAGATTTAGGAGACTCTTCTCGGATGAAAAAACTGCAAAATTATTGAGGTGGCATGCTGATGGGAGGAAGAAAGATGGGTTAATGAGGCATCCTGCTGATTACCCGCAATGAAGGAACATTGATCGAAAGTTCAAGGACTTTTGTGAAGAAGATCGAAATCTTAGGCTTGGTCTTAGTACAGATGGAATGAACCCATTTGGGACACTAAGTACCCAATATAGCACCTGGCCGGTTCTTCTAACTATCTACAATTTTCCTCCTTTGTTATGCATGAAGTCTAGATACATTATGTTGTCCCTTCTAATATCTGGGCCTAAACAACCTGGAAATGACATTGATGTGTATCTAGCGCCTCTCATTGAAGATTTGAAATTGTTGTGGAATGAAGGTGTCCAAATGTTTGATGCATATAGTAAAACCAATTTCACTTTACGTGCCATTATTTTTTGTACGATAAATGACTTCCCAGCTTATGGGAATTTGTCGGGGTACACTGTGAAGGGAAGAACTCCTTGCCCCATTTGTGAAGATGATTTGGAGGCATTGCGCCTAGACAATTGTGGCAAGCATGTATACATGGATAATCGAAGACATCTTCCAGAAGACCACCCTTTTCGATTCAATAAGGATGCTTTTAATGGAAAAGTGGAGTTGAGAGAAGCTCGTGGCCCTTTACGTGCAAGTGAGGTTTATCAGCGGGTCAAAGACATTGAGAATGAGTTTGGTAAGCCTTACAAAAGCAAATCAACTGGGGGTTACAAGAAGAAGTCTGAGCTATGGTCTCTTCCATATTGGAGACATTTGGAAGTTAGACATTGTCTAGATGTAATGCATATTGAGAAAAATATATGTGATGCCATTGTGGGAACTTTATTAAACATGCCAGGAAAGAAAAAGGATGGAGTTAAAGTAAGAAAAGACATGGCTGCTATGGGTCGTTCAGAGTTGGCACCCGAATCTCGAGGAAAACGCTGGTATCTTCCCCCAGCTTGCTTTACCTTGTCTAAAAAGGAAAAAACTAGCTTCTGTGAGTCATTGCATGGTTTAAAGGTCCCGGCTGGATTTTCTTCTAATTTTCGTAGACTTGTGTCAATGTCTGACTTGAAATTGGGTGGCATGAAATCTCATGATTGTCATGTCTTGATGCAACAATTATTACTAGTTGCCATTCGAGGAATTTTGCCACCTCAAGTGAGGTATACAATTACAAGATTATGTGTCTTTTTTAACACTATCTGTAGCAAGGTCATAAATCCAAGTATTTTAGATGACTTGCAAGCAGATATACTTGAGACAATGTGTCGATTTGAAATGTATTTTCCCCCATCTTTTTTTGACGTGATGCCTCATTTGGTTATTCATCTTGTACGTGAAATTAAACTTTGTGGACTAGTGTGTATGAGATACATGTATCCTTTTGAACGAGAAATGGGTGACTTAAAGGGAAAAGTCATGAATCCGGCCAAACCTGAAGCTAGTATTGTACAACGAACAGTTGCTGAGGAAGTGGCAGCATGGGTTGCTCAATATCTTGCACGTTCACAGAAAATTGGGTTGCCAAAGTCTCGACACGATGGGAGGCTTGGAGGTCAAGGTACTATTGGCAGGAAAAGGATATCCATGGGCTTTGAAATGAAAAATAAGGTCGAGCTCTTTGTGTTGCAAAATCTTAGTGAGGTTCATCCTTACTTGGACGAGCACATGCTTTTTCTTAAAAATAAATATCCTTCCAAAAGTGATCTTCAGCTGATAAAGGAGCATAATTGTTCATTCGTTACATGGTTCAAGGAACGAGTGATGTCCCAACTATCCACCACACCTAACGATATATCTGACACATTGAGATGGTTGGCATATGGTGCTAAATGTCAAGTCATGTCATATGAGGGATACGACATCAATGGGTATTCTTTTTACACTAGCCGACAAGATGACAAGTCAACAATGCAAAACAGTGGTGTTAAAGTAGTAGGTTTGTCATCTGAGTATGTTAGTGCACATGATAAAACACTTGTGGATAAGAAGAAATTTTATTATGGAATCATTGAAGAAATAATAGAGCTGGATTATGTTGATTTCAAGATTCCTCTATTTCGATGTAAGTGGGCTGATAGTAGCCGTGGTGTAAAAAAAGATGAACAAGGGAACTTGACCCTTGTAAATCTTGGTCGGCGAGGGCATCTAGCTGATCCATTTATATTAGCTTCACAAGCAAAACAAGTTTTTTACTTGGCTGACCCAGCTGATTGTTAGTGGTCAGTTGTTTTAGAAGGTAAAAGAAGGATACTTGGCATTGAAGATGTGGTGGACGAGGAAGAATATGATGAGCAATTTAATGAGTCACCACCTTCCGTTTGGAGCATCCCTCCAATAGTCGATGATTTTGACACAACGTTGAAACGAAAAGATCATAATGAAGGATTTTATGTCGCAAAAGAGAAGAATGAAGTAGGTATGAATTCTATGATTTTATTTTTTTCCAATATGTGTTAGTAATTGCATAAATTGCTTATTATTGTTATGTGTTCAAGTTTATAATTTAAAAATGATATAAATCGATGTCTTAATTTATTTATGTCTTTTTTTTCAGGTAAGTAATAATGGAGGATGAGGATTTGCATAATCGTTCCATGTCTTTGCAAAGTGAGGAAGATGAGCCACACAATCAATCACAATCAGAGCAACAAACAACCGACTCTCAGAAGAAGAAAAAGAAGCCAAGAGGTCCTTCAAAGGGCCTAAAATCCATGCCTGGGGTTCCTAGAGTGCTTGAATGGGATGAATTGTGTCGACCCATTGGAAAGTGGGCAAAAGCATACAAAATTCATGTTGGTGAAATAAGTCGTGCAAAGGTGTCTATATTGTATAAAGATTGGAATCAAGTTCCACAAGGAATAAAAGACACTTTGTGGGAAGATGTTAAGGTAATATTCACTATTATATGTTAAATGTTATACTATGATATGATCATTTTGACATTATTTGAATATGATGAAAACAATTTATTTGAATATGATGAAATTATTTACTAACTTTTTTTATTTTTTTTAATTTTTTGCGTAGAGAGAGTTTCAAATCGAAGAAGATGACGACAAGAAAAAAAAGGTCCTATGCACTTGTGATAAAACTTGGAGAGATTTCAAAACAAAATTGGTCAGTGGTTGGATCACATGTACCAGGAATATGCCGAAGGAGAAAAGAATGCCGTATGTACTCTATGATTTCATATCTGAGGATATGTGGAAAACATTTGTGGAGGAGCATACTACAGATGATTTTAAGGTTTGTGTGTATTAATATCAATGATCATGCGGGTTATTAATACTTTGTTAACGGATTCTTATGTACTAATCTTCATTTATGCTCGTAAAAATAGGAAATCAGTGAGAAGGCAAGACAAAGTCAGTCTTTCAACGAATACCCTCACCATTTAGGAGCCAAATCATATGGTGAAATGAATATTGTATGGCGTAGAAAAGGGTATATTCCCACGGCATCTTCAGCATCCAGTACTTCATCTTGTTCTTCGGTTGTTTCTAGTTTGCCGGATAGGACATATGCTTGGCTTCTAGCAAGATCAATAGAAGATGATAAGGGAAATCCTTATTTGCCGGATGAGAAAACAAGAGAGGTGAAAGAATCCATTGTAAGTATGTAATAAGTCTTTATTTCAATTTTGAATATATTTTGTTAAGTTTATGTATTGCAACCAAAGTTTTCTAACTTGAAGTCATTGTGTAGGATAATTGGAGAAAGCAACAAGCTGAAGGAAACTTTGTTCCTAATAGGCATGATGATATCTTATCTCGTGCCCTTGGGAAAAAAGATCGTAATGGTCGGGCAATAGCATTTGGCAGTGGAATTGGCATTAAAGCTGTATGGGGATCCGGAGAGAGGCGTAGTGGCCGACGGGGTAGGGAATTCGGAGATGATGAGCTGGAAGAATTAGAGGTAAGAGTAGCCCGGAGGGTACGAGAGGAGACTATGTAGGGCCTTGAGTGACTTACTCGATACGGAGGAAGTGGCTTCCATTGCATTCATGTGTCCGGAAATGATTTCAGAAACCTATTTGCATAGTGATGCTGATCGTATCCTACTATACATGACACATGTGATGGAAAAACAAAAATCTAAGCAGTTCATCTTATGCCCATACCATGAAAAGTATAAACTTTGAACTTGTATTTATTTGAACTTTGCAAATTGTTGATATTATTTTACTCTTTTACAAATGTGTGTCTAATTTATTATGTAGGAATCATTGGATTCTTTTGGTCTTATGCATGGCTAAGCGTGAAGTCATCATCTTTGATTCTTTGAGGCAGAAGCGAAATTTAGCAATTAAGTTTGCAATGACAAAGTAAGTCTAGTTTGTTATTAATGTCATGATTTTATGTGTGTAAGGGTAATATATATGTTATTTGTTTCAAATGTGTAGTGCTTTTCGAAGTTTTAAGGCATTAAGTGGACAATCTAGGGGAAGTAAATTGATATGGCATTTGGGACAGGTTACCTTAATTTCTTACCCTAACTTTTAGTTTCTTAATAATTGAAGTATAGCAATTTAATTCAACTTACAAATATATTACATGTAGTGTCCTCAACAATTGGGTGGACGTGAGTGTGGCTACTACGTCATGCCTTATATGTACGAAATACTTGAACATCACCATAGCAGTGAAGATCTTATTCAGGTATGAGTTGTCAAATATTTCATTTTTGTTTGATAAATACAATTTGATGTTAGCTACAATCTTGAATTAAAACTTTCCTCTTGTATATTTGTTGTGTTGATAGGATTTTTCAAGAACTACACCGTACACCGAGGAGGAGATAAATGAGATTCGAGATATTTGGGCAGAGTATTTTATATGTAATGTTGAACTTTAGATTTACCACTTAGCGCATGTTTGACTCTTGTTTTGGATGATAGGCTTGAAATGAAGTAATTTGGTTAATTGGTGTTGGGATGATGAGTATAATGTCTATGATATTGAGATGTAAATTATTGGACAGGTTGTTAATATAATGCCGTCATTCCCAATTTTATGGGTAGGCCAAATTACAAAGGAGACTTTGCCGAAATTTACATTTGCATTATTAAATAATATTGCATTTTAATTTCAATTATATTAGCGTTATCATATTACTTTATACCTAGGAAAACAGGTACTACAAACATATACAAGGCAATTATATTATTATAATTCAAAAAAAAAAAAAATTCACCTCATTTGCGTCACTCATTAAACAAACAAGTGACGCAAATACAGCAGTTTTGTATATTGTCTACTCAGTCATTTGCGTCACTCCTATATAAACAAGTGACGCAAATAACAAAAAATAAGTTTATTGGAAGAGTCATTTGCATCGCTTGTTTATAAAGGAGCGGCGCAAATAACAAAAAAAGTTTATCTGAAGAGTCATTTGCATTGCTTGTTTATAAAGGGGCGACGCAAATGACTAAAAATAAGTTTATCAGTAAAGTCATTTGCGTCGCTCTTTTATAAAGGAGTGACGCAAATAACAAAAAATAAGTTTATCTGAAGAGTTATTTGCGTCGCTCCTTTATAAAAGAGTGACGCAAATAACAAAAAATAAGTTTGTCAGAAGAGTCATTTGCGTCGCTTATTTATAAAGGAGCGACGCAAATGACAAAAAATAAGTTTATTAAAAAAGTCATTTGCGTCGCGCCTTTATAAAGGAGTGACGCAAATGACTCTTATTTGCGTCGCGCCTAGGAGCGACGCAAATGACTTAAAAGTCATTTGCGTGGCGAGCAGTTGCGTCGCTCATGGAAGCGACGCAAATACCCTATAAATGAGCGACGCAAATAAGCCTTTTTCTACTAGTGCTAGAATATAGCGCTTTCCGCCTAGAGCAGGCGCATAAGGACCTACAATGTCCAAGTCCCATTTAGTAAACGGGACTGGGTTGTGGATTGCCGTCAAGTCTGTTGTCGGGTGATGGATTAGCTTGCCAAATCTTTGACACTTATCACATTTTTTAACATACTCCATGGCATCTGACTCCATTGCATCCTGCATGCAATTCTTTCAGAACTTCTCTCCCCTTTTTTGAGTAACTCCCTTTAATAGAGGCTTCAAAAACCCCGCCTTGAAGAGCTCTCCTTCCCTCATCTCGAAGTTTGCATCACGCTTCTTTAGTACGGCCGCCTCCTGGGGTGAATCAAGGAGCATGCCGACTATTAGATATGCCCGGATGCCATCCATCCAAGTAGAATTTCAATCAAGTACTCCAATGGGCTCGTCATCAAATATGCTTCGTTTTTCCATAACTTCCCAGAAAACTGACAGAGGCGTATCACATGAGCCGAAGGATGCCAATTTTGACAGTACATCCACTTGGTTGTATTCAAACCTGGGCACTTGAATTAGATGAAATTGTTCAAGTTTCCCAGCTTTAGCTTTGACCTCCTACAAATATTTGATCATAGCGGGATGGGTGGCTTCATACTCACCACGGTATTGGCTAACGACTAACTGAGAATCTGAGCAGGCGTCAACTTTTGTTGCCCCTACCGCCTTGCACACGCGGATGCTGGCTAGCAGGATTTCATATTTCGCCTCATTGTTTGAGGCCTAGAACTTGAACCGTAGTGCATATTCATATTTATCTCCTTCTGGAGATTGACAGATTACGTCTGCACCATAGCCGTTCATAGTAGAACTCCCATCTACATGCACCTTCCAAACCTGATCAAGGTTGTCCAGAGGATCCGGCCTTGTCATTTCGACAATGAAGTCGGCAAACGCCTGACCCTTCACTACCTTTCTTGGTTCGTGGGTGATTTCAAGACTTTGCATTACAATAGCCCATTTGAGCATTCTACTGAATGAGTCCAGGATTGTCATTGGCCGCTTGAGGGGTTAATGTGTATAGATCACCACCAGATGTGCCAAGGAGTATGCTTTTAACTTCTTAACAGCACTAAGAGCATGATCTGAGACGGCTAGGTACATGTAAAGCGTCTCCTTTGGCAAGGGACTAACAAGCCTCGGCAAGGAGTGTAAATGTTCTTTTAACTTTTGAAAGGCCGCCTCTGCATCATCTCCCAATTCAAATCTAGTCTTCTTCTTGATTGCTTGGAAGAAATAAACACATTTGTCACCTGACCGACTAAGGAATCTCCCAAGCGTAGCCAGACAACCGGTAAGCCTCTAAGTATCCATGACAGTTGACTTCATGTAAATCACCGCTTGTATCTTCTTGGGGTTAGCCTCTATCCCCCTTTAATAAATCAAGAATCCGAGAAACTTCCTAGACTCAACACCAAAAACACTTTTTTTTGGGATTTAACATGACATTATGCCGCGTGAGTGTGGTGAAGGTTTCTCGGAGATCACCAAGGTGATCTGTCTGTAGCTTGGATTTGACTATCATGTCATCAATATATGCCTCTACATTCCTCCCAATCTGATTAATGAAGATTGTATTAATCATCCGTTGGAAAGAAGCCGGCGCATTATTCAAGCCAAACGACATCACCTTATAGCAGAATAACCCCTGATCAGTGACGAAGGTCGTCTTTTCTTGATCTTTTTTCCATAGGGGTATCTGATGGAAGCCGGAATAGGCATCCTTTAACTCATTAAGGCATGTCAGGCTGTAGAGTCGACAAAGCTGTCAATCTTTGGAAGCAAATAACTGTCCTTTGGACATGCCTTGTTCAAGTCAGTGTAATTAACGCACATGCGCCAAGTACCATTCGACTTCTTTACAAGCACCACGTTTGCAACCCAATCAGGGAAGTTACATGGTCGAATGAACTTGGCGTCTAACAGCTTTTTGACCTCGGCAGCTGCTGCCTGACTTCTTTCCTCGCCGTGATTTCTTTTCTTTTGCCGGATGGGCTTCTTTTTTGGATCCACGACGAGTTTTTGGATCCACGGCGAGGTTCGGGCTGATGCCTGGCATCTCTTCCACTTCAAAGGTAAAAATGTCTTTGAATTCTTTAAGTAGAAAGTGCAAGTTTGCACCAAGCCTTTCAAAGGCAACCGTCCCCACCTTAACATTTCGCTCTGGACGGCTGTCGCCTAGAGGAAGCTTTTTTAAACAAAGCTTTTTTAAATCAAATGAAAGTCAAACAATAACAAAAAAGCTAATTAAATCAAATAAAAGTCAAAACACATTCAACAAAGCTAATTGTATCATATGAAAGTAAAACACATTCAAATAAATTTTTGAGTCAAATGAAAGTTAAACACATTCAAACAAAGCATTTTCAATAACACTAAAGTCAAACACATTCAAATATAGATTTTTAAATCAAATGAAAGTGATACAAAATCAAATATATCTTTTGGAATTAAACGAAAGTCAAATGCATTCAACAAAGCTGTTAATCAAATAAAAGTCAAACGCATTCAAAAAAAGGTTTTAAAATCAAATAAAAATAAAATTGTACGGGATAGCTCCTACTGAGCTATTCCTTCGCTTCCGACCTCACTCAAGGGGCGAAGGACCACGAAGAGAGTTGGCATGAGTCACCTCATACCATCTCTAGGGGGCTAGTTGTATAGGGTAGTTCCTGCTAAACTATCTCCCGCTCTTAGCCCCTCTAGGGATGGCGCACCTCGAGTACCATTTTGATCCCGTTGAGTATGCTCCAGGCTCTCTTCTGTTAGCTTGACCAAGGTAAGTCGGCTCTAGGCTCCCGGCTGCTAACCCGACCAGGGTAAGTCAACTCCAGGCTCCCGGTTGCCAGCCCGACCAGGGTAAGCTAGCTCGACTAGGATGAATCAGCTCCAGGCTCCTGGCTGCCAGCTCGACTAGGATGAGTCAGCTCCAGGCTCCTGGCTGCCAGCTCGACTAGGATGAGTCAGCTCCAAGCTCCTGGCTGCCAGCCCGACCAAGGTGAGTCGGCTACAGGCTCCCAGCTGCCAGCCCGACCAGAGTAAGTCGGTCACAGGCTCCCGGCTGCCAGCCCGATAGAGTAAGTCGGCCACAGGTTGACCACTGAAATTAGGGTTATCATACACTATAAATACCCCAACATATGCCACATAAAGGGGGTTAATCAATCTCTCTCTCTCTCTAAGCATATTAAGCTTTATACTCTCCTAAAAGGTAAACACTTACTTAGCCATCAGAGGGAGGTTCCTCGAAACCACCCCTGATGGCAGTTTACGTTCTCTCTCTTGTAGGTCCTCCAGTGGTGCTGACGGAGTTTCCCGAGGTTCAAGCAGGCAGGCAGTCAGAGACCCCAGTAGGCAGCCCGAGACTCCAACAGTGTAGTCAGTGGTTCGGATATTCCCATTGGAGTACATCCTAAACAATTGGCGCTAGAAAGAGGAGCGAACCAATCTAACCTTGAAGCACTAGCCAGCTGAGTTTTAAAGGCCGACAAGTGAGAGAGTGAACGGTAAGCTTAAGCCATCGCCAACCAAGGTGGTGATCGAAAGTAGATCACATATTTTCACCCCGTGTTCAACCTGATCTAGCTCGAAAACACCAACTCGCAACTGAAAAATCAGATCAACCAATTTGCAAGATCTGGTGGAATAAGAGGAACATCTTCATTAATAAATAAAGTAACAAAAACGAAGAAGACAAGGAGCAAAGTAGCCTGTGAGCCACCGTACTCTGAGGTTGAGCGGATGGGGTTTTGCATAGCTCCGTCATGAACTCTGAAGCAAGCAGGAGCACTGCTCCATCTTTGTAGTTTGAACTTTGAGCTGCCACGCATTCCGCAACCAAATTCAATTTTGTTAAAACAGGCAACATTCTTCACCCTTACATATATTATCTCTGGTTAATCTCTGTTTGTGCACAAATTTGAGCATTAAGCATGTTGCGTTAATCTTATGAGAAGTGTGGGAAATTGGTAGAAACCATGATAGATTTGAAATCTAAACCTGCATACTTGTGAAATTGCATGATTAAGAAGTTATTATGGAACATGAATGACTTCAATGTTATTTCCTTCCCCTTTGCATTTGGCTGGTTGTATAACTCTCTGTCTATGAATTACAATTAAGTAAATTTGAGATAGATGTTAAGAAGGGAGAGTATTATAGAAAATGTACTCAAAACATGAGGAAAAGGA